GAAGCCAAGTCCCCAGGACGAAGAAAGAGCAAGAGAAATCGACGAATCGCGAGTCAAAATGAAATACGGGACTGGACGTCGACATCCTAAGACATGCACTTGTTGGAGTACTTTGCTGGTTGTTGCAATGGGATCCCCAGGACTGTTGCTGCCGCGATCATGAGCCTCTAAAACTGGACATGTAGATGCGTTGTCATAACTGCCATGATCCTGGAAATCTGGTCTGCTAAGGGATAAGTGATCTAGACTGCTCGTCAATAGGTCTGACTCCATCGCCAGACTATGTCGGTGTCTTGAGCTACTTTTCTTATATCTTTGCTGACGTGAGGAGGGAGATATTTGCTTGGAGCCCGACTAATCGTCCTGATTCTCTGGGCTGCCACCTTCGGAGGTTGCAAGCTCTGAGCTCGCCGAGGCGGACGGAGTACAAGTGAAACGAATTTTCTGATGCAACCACCGTCTACGAGGAGCTGGTTTGTCGACGCGTCCTTTCTGCTTGCAGACTGAACTGTGACGTCCACGAATGAAGACAAGCTCTGTCAACGTCTCGGAACACTTCAACTGCCGTGAGCACAGCTAAGTTTGGGGTCGCTTTTAGCGGAGAAAAGATGTACTTCTGAGGCCTGATGAGATGGTATAGGGCACATAATGTTGGACTAGGAAGAAAATTGGCTGATCCTTGTGACCGGTATGGTCGACTGGCTGATCCTATTCACCCAGCCCCAATATAGGTGTGTGAAATTGGGTAAAAAAGACTTAATCTGTATGTGAAACATCAAAGCAGGTTAGGTTCTTTCCGTATATATTTTTCTGGTCACTTTATTATCTGCCTCCTTGCTCTAATGCTCTTCGTCTCTCTTGTATTCTTGCATTTTTCTCACCAGGCTACCTTATAAGGTGTATCCTTATGCTGTAATTGCGATTTCACCTGCTAATGGAGCGTCTGATGCATGCAGATATGCAATCTGTATGCTGCACAAAGTCAGACGATGTCGACCGATGATAGGTTATTTCTAGTGCCTTGGATTCAGATCACAGCTCGATCATTTGGCGCTCTGGGTTTTACAGTCGTATTGCGTCAGTTGTTTTTTCGTTTCGTTTTTTTGTAGATTTTCTGGACTACCAATAGATCATATATGTGCGATATATTCACCCTATTTCAATTAAGGTGATAAGAGAACTGGTGCTTGAATTTTCCCACAATCAGTATAGTAGGCTTTACGTTTCCATTGAATTTCACATAGCCTTGTCTTCCAAACATCCATTCCCACCCCGGCTGGAGTGGACTGCACTTTCGACCTCTCTTGAACCTGTCTCATCAGCACTCTGAGCGAGACTCGAACTGTGATAGTGCAGCGTATAATCTTGACATGCTAAACACGCCACCACAAGTTATCAAGAGTGTCCTTAGGCCACAGGGAAGATGAGAACTTCAAGGAAGGCCAGACATTTTACCATTTCACATTCTGTAGTGGGATTTTCGATGAAGCAAAGTTGTATTTACTATAGCACTCGACTAAATTGCTTATTTTTTGTTTATACGTGGGCATGTATCATATATATGACATATATTCATTATATTTCAAGGTTGGTCGAGATTATACACTGAACTGTCGTGGTTCAAGTCCCGATGGGGATGCTGATGAGACCATTTCAGGCGAGGCCGAAACTGCAGTCCACTTTAGTGTGGAGGAGAATACCGTTTGGGAAAGCAAGGTTATACAAATTTTAATGGAAACCTAAGGTCTACTCATATGATTATGAAAAAACTAAACTAGCAGTCCCCTTATCATCTTAAACAAAATAGGGTGATTACATCTAATATATGTGTCAAGTGTGCTTGTACAATTAGTTTGAGATGCATTCGGAATGCCAACATGGTGTGCTGTCGCTGCTACAATTTAACAACTCCATCCATTCTTAAGTGGTGATGCCTGGGCTGGTCTGTGGCTCTTATTTGTTATTTTTATTTATTTCCATATTTAAAAAAATTCTATTAAGACCCTCATGTTACCATATCCTTAACTGTTCAATGTAGTTTATTACAGAAGCACATGGGCAACGAATTTGATATGGATATGCAGATTGGGCTATTTTGATTGGGTGTTCCTTTGTCGCATGCTATCTGTACATCCCAACTCAACCCTTGGGGACGAGGAGCTAAATCTCACTTTTAAAAGGGAAACAGCTTCTACCTTAGTTGCCAACTTTGGATAATCTCAGTAGAGATCCTAACCGGGCTCGTAATCTAGTTACTCATCTCTCGTTCCCTATGTATGTATATGTATATATTTGTATCTATGTCTTTTTAAATAATTTAGTTGGCTTAAAAATTGTCATGTGCACGTATATTGGGGCTACCGGACGATTTGGCTGGTCCTGGTTACTTGGATGACAATATATGATCGATAGACGGGTTTCAGAAAGTTCCTCAATAGATAAATTTCATCAAAAATCTTAGTTCGTATGAAATTTTGTGCGAAGCAGTCTGTAAAACGGTCTCAGCGAAAGCCGAAAGTAGATTGCCTTTTGGCTGTGACTGTTGATTTGAGCATTAGAGTCCTCTACTCATTATCTGGTGACCCTATTAAATCCTTGTTGAGAATGTGTTATATTCCATCTTTAAAAAAACGTAACTAAGAATGAGGTCTGACTCTTATTCTTTTTTATATTCCATGATGCGTCCAATCATATGGTTGCTGGACTTATCTGCACTTTTTCGGTATTCCACCAAAGTATTTTAGCATTGATTTGATTCTAAGACTAATTTATGGATTATTTTCATGGCATCTATGGTATCAGTGATCCCTCTTCTTCCCCTCATTCTTCTTGAACTAGCCACCAAATAACTTACAGAGTTCTAAATAACGTGAATTGCATACCAGTACTGCTTTATTATATTATCTTTCTTTCCCTTCATGATTTCTCAGTCCGGTTATGCGTCTGCTTTGTCAACCTTTAGGCATATACAGAAGCTGCCATGACAGAAGCCTATTTACTTTTTGGGGGGGATTTTGTACCAAAGGGCTATTCACTATGGA